AAGAAAAAAAAAGAAAGCAGTTTAATCATCAAATCTTCATCTATCAATCACAAACAAAGCTTCTAAGCTTTATATATGTTTCGCAAACAATTGTCAGCAATGCAGTTCATTGTCAAACTCTACAACTATATGAGCCCAGCATGGAAAAAGTGTTCTTAATTCACCAAGATTTTTTCTAAAGACATTTACTAGTCCTACCTTTACATTACTGCCTGGAACATGGAGAAATTTCATTACTTTTCCTTTGTATCGGCTCGTAATCTCTATGGTTGCTTTGTCACTTTGTACCTCACAAAGCGGCTGAAATTCTTCAACTTGGTCCCCCTGTTAGGTCAGAGGAGGGGAAAAAGGCATGATAAAAATGACCTCCAAAGAACGCCAGAACACAAAGAGAGAAGATCCCATTAACTAACAAGATAAGAAAGTTCATATTTTCAAAAATAGGATCAAAACAACAAAAAGAATCATCCAACAACCAGCAATAGTACATTTTTTTTTGCACAACAATAGAACACATGAAAAAAGACAAAGCATTTACCTCTTGCACAAACCATTTAAGAAGTTCACACTCTGCAATACCTTCACCAGTTTGGGCCAACGGAATATCAACCACACCATCAGTTGGAAGATCAGATATTGCTTGAGTCGTAAATTTACGACATTTTATCCCTAATGAAATGCTCGACTGAAACAATAACAAAACATACAGAACCATTAGTTTGCATAACCACAAAAAAAGAAAGTTGAATAAATTCCACATCTTGGACATATAAAATTCTGAAGTTTCTATACTTAAAGGGCAAAAATTTGAAAATTTCTGGCATGTTTTAATCATACTTGAGCGAGGTTGAGGTTCAAGAAACACAATAAATTCCGAACAGAACGCCAAACTAACCAGAAGAGGAACGAAAAATCTAAAGCAACAATTAATATTCATTTGGACATTTAATCAATTGACAGTAACTCTGAAGAATACTAAAACATCTCTAATCGGAACACAGCTTCGAATATCTTTACACATAGAACAATAATTTTGTCTTTGGCAACCCTTTATTTCCATTTTCCTCCACAGCAGTACGCCGACAAGAAAAATGGAAAACAAAAGGAAAATCAAGAGACTTACGGCATTTCCATCACAAGGATTCCTTAAGAAAAACAATGTTCTAGTCTCTCTGAAAACATTAACTTCGCATCGATGCATAAAACCCATTTCAGAAATACCGCTTCGAGCGCCGGCGACGCCAGCAGCCGATGACGGCGGAGCAGTGGCGGAGTACACACTGCGCCACCATTGGCTGAAGCAGCAAGAATATTTTCGATAAATTTTACGGCAAATCATTCTACAGTAAATTATGGGAGCTGGAGCGGTAGCACAGTATGTAATTTCTCGTTAAATTTGCTGAATAGTGCGATAAAATTCTCCTCTGATTGCTGTAGATTTTCACCACTTTCAGCCAGGCTTCAACTGTGCATTGACTATCGAGTGCTGTTTCCTTATACTTTCATTTTTGCCCCTAAATTGTTATCTACTGAATAACGAAAACAATATTAATAATTATTTATTCAGTCATTTTTTGCCACATAATTCAGTTGTTGTTATAGTGCAAGTGCAAGTATATTTATTGCTCTTAGCCTTTAGGTTTAGGCACACCGAATATAATTAACATTTAACAACTATTTTTCAATACACACGATTAGCTTTTCTATAAAATTATCAAATCTAAATTATCAATCATAAATAACAAATACATGTCTAATTTAATCCGCACAATTCAAATAATTATGTATTAATTTAAGACTATTGCATCATACGACCCAAACTATCCTAAAACAATTTAACTAATCCATTATTCTGTTTATAAGAACGAAGATAATTAATATTAATATATATTTGAAGAGAGGGGTTTTAACCTTTAAATAATTCCACGTGAGACTGGATTGCGATAAGCACATTCATTGAGCTTTATCATATGGCCGAATAAGAAATGAATTTCATAGTATTAACCATTTTTTTTTTAATTCTATAATCCAACGTCAGCAGAGCTTATCTTAGTTTGAAGTTTGAATTAGAGATAATTTCGTGTTGAAATTGGATAACGTTCTTCTCTGCGCGTCTACTTCAAAATCCACTCCCATGAAAACCATCATAGAAAAAATGATAAAATTCTCGTTATTATGAAAAAATATTAAATAGCCAATTTCGATAGGACCTGTGCATTCATTAAATACTAGCTTGTTAATCCATCTATGTTGATATAAATAATATTTTAATACATATATTTATTTTTTGATATGAATAAAAATAATAGTTTTACTCATATAATGTGCAATCATTGTTTTATTTTAAATTTTGTTGTCATATAATATAACTATCATTTTTTATAAAAGTTATTTATGTAATTCTTTTTCTATTCAATGATAAATACCTAATGTACGATAATATTTTTAATAATGTCACTAATTTAAAATTATATAAAAAACTTAATATTAAAATATTGGTTATAAAATGTTTTACCATATATATAAACATGTTATTCTATTCAGTTATTAGAATATGTCATATCCCATAATAATTAGAAAGATAAAAATAATTACATATATATATATATATATAACATGTCATCAATAATAACTAATTTGTAAAAATAAATTCGCCACATCGAGAAAGGTAACGCATTATGGGTGATATATATGTGATAAGTCGAAAAATGTGTCTCTTTTATATATTTAATTTATTCGTGTGGTCATATTTTTCAAATTATTTATTATTTTGATGGATTTTTTTATGTATTATTTTCAGTGCATTGGAGTATCTTATGTGCGCGAAACAATGGACGGATTGTACTCGGCTAATTAAGGCGGGAAGACAATATTAAGTGATTAATGTCGTTTGGGATGAGAAGATGAATCATGATGATAGGAACTTATTATTGGTTGGGCCAAGAGTGTTATTAGTGGTTGGGCCAAGGACTTAGGTGATTTAGGCCCAAGATTGCAATTGATTTGGATGAATAGAGCCGCAAGACAGAAATGATTTGGGAAACTTATTGGGGAGAGGATTTATTATGATGAAATAAACGCAGCAACACTCACGTAAATCAAGAGTGATTTATTTGGGGATAAAAGCCGCCAGGTATTGGAGGCGGGAAAAACAAAAGAAAAAGTCGTAAGCAACAAGAATTCATTTTACCACGGGAATAAAAAGCGAAAGACACAGAGTCCCATAACAAGCAGACTGAGATTTATTTCTGGAAATATCCGAGGGAGAAAGGAAGAAAACACGGGGAAAAGAGGGAGCTACATGCGGAGGAAAGCCACAATCATGGAGATTTTGTTCTCTCTTTTATCTTTTATTTATTTTTTTATTAATATGTTAGGCTAGATTTTTATTCAGCTTGAGAGGAGGTTTGAACTCTAGTTTCGATTTGTTTATGAACTGAATGATTTTAATTTATCGTTGATTAATTAAGATGTTTAGACGCCGTATTTATTTTGTTGATGAGTTAATTAAGGTCATCTGTGTTTTATATTTATAAATATGGGTGTTTGGTTTAGTTTGGTCAACTACGTTAATATTCATAGTTTAATTGTTAGAGACGAGGTTTTGTTTGTAACTGTTATTGTTCTTGTTTCGTTAGTAGTAAACTAGTGGTCGTGCATCTATAGGGTAGCGTGAACATAAGTTAAATGGTTCGAGTTTTGGCCTCCGTTGTTTAGACTAATCTATTTTCCTAGGAATTAATGTTGTTAGTGAATTAAATTTAGAGAGCTAATTCTAGGTTGTCCACTAATTAGGTTTAGTTGAAGAGCTTATTTCAATTAAATATTCGGTTAACAAAGTTTGTTGTTAGCAAAGGTTGGTAATTCATAGCAATTTAAAGAAGACGTTGAAGTTAAATAACGGTAAATTTAGATTGAGTGATAACTGAACAAAAAACTAGACTTCTCTCAATTTTTTTTTTTAATTTTTTAATTTTTTTTTAGTTTTCTAACATCAATCCTCCCTCCCCCCATTTTTTATTGTTTTTGTAGTTTTAATTCAATTAATACGAGAATAGTCACAATTTAATTCATGTTCCTCGTGTGATCGACCTTGCAGCTACTACTAGTTAGTAGAGGTTAGTCGAAAAAAATTTATAAATTTAAACTTGCCGCGTCGCAACGCATGGTCAAATTTTAGTGCCGTTGCCGAACAATGGCTCAATTAAGTATTATTTTTTGTACTAATTAAATAAGGTATTAGATTAGCATATATTTTATTTTATTTGACTATCTTAATCCCTTTTTTTTCAGGGGAGCAATAAGTAGAGCCAACGACAATAAAAAAAGGCGCTTATTGGGAGGCAACCCAATGGTATGCGACGTTCTGCGACTTCTTTTTCTTGATAAGGTGGATTCTCTCCTTTTACCTCTTTCGTGCTATCTTATTTGTGCAAACTCTAAGTTTGGGAAGACTCATAAGTTTGAGAGGTTTATGTGTTCTATATTATATATTCTATTGATTAGTTTGAGTATGAGTTACTTGTATATGAAATTTTTGCGATGATGATATGAGCGTTGGTAGAATTTATTGTGCTAGTTTAAAGGGCTTGAGTTGATTATATTCGGTTAAATATCTTAAGGAGTTTTTGTTTTGAGATCAAGAGCATGATGATTGATAATTTTGTAATTTATTTATGGCGAGTTGATTTTGAATCGAAGTTGTTGTTGAGATGTGCTTTTGATTATCTTGATCAATGTTGGCTATGTTTGGTGACTTGATGTTGAAAGTCGGTGTTTGATGTCTCGTAGTCGAAAATAATGCAATAACGAGTCCGGATAATAATTGGTAGAATTGAAAAGCCTTTGGCACACAAAAAAAATTATAAGTTATGGGTTGCAACAATGGTCAATCCGTGGAGGCTCTAGTGTATCAATTCAATAATTCTTGTAGTCGAGACAATCACGAAATGCCTAAACCCACGGGTTGTGATGGAGCTGTCATTCTTTACTTCAAAGAGAGAGAAAGAGAGAGAGAAATAAAAGAGAGAAAAAAGTTGGAGAGCGAAACATTTAAAACATCGTTCAGAAGCAGGAGGGAACTAGGCTAGTTTTAGCAAAGATAGGGGTGTCATGAGTTGCATTAATCGATACATTCGTTATAGAGATTAAAGGACAATGCTGGTCACTTGATCTGACACTTGATTGTTTGAGTTCTTAAAATAATTTCATCTTGAGGCCGGATTAATTGATTCGAGTTGTTTGAGCTCTTTACTTATGTGAGAATTTGTGCGGTCCCGAGTAATATTCCACGTGCTTGTTTATATCCATCTATTGAGCTTTTAGTTCTAGTTGCTTGGGGACAACAATTAAGTTTGTGGAGATTTTATATGTCGAAAAATATACCTAGTTTATATATTTAATAGTGTATTTTATACACTTAATATATTCGCACCATTATATTTTTCGCCTTATTTATTATTTGAATGGATTTATTTGCTTTGATGTTTTATGTATTATTTTCAGTGCATTAAAATATCTTATGTGAGCGAAACAATGGACGGTCTGTACCCGGCTAATTAAGGTCCAAAGACAATATTTTGTCTGATTAATGCCATTTGAGATGAGGAGATGAATCATGATGATGGGAATTTATTAGTGGTTGGGCCAAGAGTATTATTAGTGGTTGGGCCAAGGACTTAAGTGATTTGACCCGGGATTGCAATTGATTTGGATGAATAGAGCCGCAAGAGAATTGATTTGGGAAAACTTATGGTAAATTTTCATCTATCATACAAGATTTAGATTTATTTGTGATTTTACAGCTACTATAAGTTTAATTGCATATGTACCTAAAACTATTGAATTAATTGGAGATTTACTTGATTTCAGTTAGTATACAAAAAAACGTTGACTCATAAGAGAGAGAAATGAAAATAAATAACTTACTCATTTAATTCCTTAATTCGCGCAACTGGAATTCTTTAATTCACGCAGCTGTCAGGTGGTATATGTTGCGTTTATGTTAGTATATATTCAATATATGTGCGCAATTGGAATTCCGTAATTCACGCAGTTGTCAGGTGGTATATATTGCGTTTATGTTAATATATATTCAGTATATGTTGCAATCAGTTTATGCTAAATATAAATTGATTTTATACATAAAAATTATGTCTCGCGATAAATTTCTTTATCATATACCGAAAATATACTGAATATAAATCATACATATACAAAAAAATAAAAATAAAAAAAATCATTGAATAAATATAAACTAATTGTACATAACTAATATACTAAACATAAACTATTAATAAACATTAAAAACAGAACAAATATGTAAATATGTAATATAAAATATATATGAAATATATATGGAAGTATGGGGTGTAAATACCTCTAAATCAAAAGGATACAATCATACAAGTTCTTGCCTAACCATCAACAACCAAACAATAGCTTTTGACATTCGGTAAGAGTTGAGAGAATATACTTCTGTGGTACAAGAATTAAGAAGACAAGATCAAACTTCTACATATAATAATAATAAATAATAATAATAATAATAATAATAATAGTAATAATAATAATAATAATAATAATAATAAAATAAAAAAATTGTACCTTTGTGACTAGTGATTATTAAATTACATTAAAAACTTAACGTTTTCGAGTTTTATTAACAATAACTAACAGTCTAACATGCTTTCTAATTATTCCTATTGCAATAACTTTAGAAAAATTATTTCAACTTTAACCCCTAACTACCAACATATTAATCATGAAAAATTTGATTAAAACATCATACCTTCTGTGATGAAAATAAATAAAGAGAACAAATGTTTGCTGAAAGGCTCTTAATATCTAGATCGCTTTAAAAAGAACTGAATTATTAAGGGCATGAAAGTGGTCCAATTACTTAATTCCCATCTAAGAGTATAGCCACATGGTTTTGATTTTGATGGTACTTATTAGAGTTGATTGGTAACCACTTCACATGATTGTGACCTCACTATATATATATATATATATATTTTTTTTTTTTTTTTTANTTTCCCAACCTCTAATTATACAAATAAATAAATAAAATAACACAAACATCCATATGGTTTGCCATATACATTTGAAAGGCCCTTCTATCTACCTTTTCCATTGAGCTGGAATTGAAACTAAACTCAACTCTAATCCAAAATAGAAAACCTAAAATGTTTCCCCTAAAATCAATTCATATTACTTGTTAAGAGCTACCAAAGGGATGGTGAAAATTAGGACAATGTCATGTCACCTTACAAAATCTTGGAAATAATGAGAGGTCTCTTTACCCTACCTCAGCCAATCACATGATAAATATCCCATCATCATTCTTTTCAAAGATAATGGCCAAAAAACCCTCATGTTTGGGGTAATTAATGAAAATCTAGTCAAGTTACAACCATTAGACAACACTTCTTTGAAATTCCATATATTTCACATCAATATTACATAAATGAATGGCCGTATTTTATCATATACTTATTTCATATCAGCTAATTCAATCAAATAGTTAAACTCTAATTTAATTAGAGCCAATTTAATAACCAAAGTGGCAAAGAAGGTCGATTCTAACTAGTCAACTTATGGCTACGCATTATTCACCACCAAGATCACTTATCGCAACATCAGATTCCAAGTAGAAAAGCAGGATTCTTTATCAAATGCCCCTGACTCTCCTCATATATCTCTAGAAAAACACTCTTCTAAAAAACTACTAAAAGAACACAAGTATGAGAAGGCAACCTCAACTATATATGGGACTTCACTTTCACCTTCACCTACACTGCTTTTGGAGGGGTCAAAAAAGGGGCATATGCATATGTTAGGAGAGTATTAGATGACTCCATCAAACAGGCTCAACCTTCAAATATTTCAGATCTCACAACTTTTTACAACCACCAATATGCATCAAAACCGAAAAAACACGTTTTCAATGTAACATGAATATGGGAATATGATAAATTGATGGCCCCCCAGAATCTGGGAATATGGTAAAATTTATGGCCCCCCGAATGCAGTTTCTACCAGAATATGCACACCTAATTTCTGCTTTTGTTCTTGTATTCCACGACTGTATACCAAGACATACAAGTGAAAGGCATTAAGAAATAAATAAAAAAAAAAAAAGAAAAAGAGAAAAAGATAAGGGGAACAAGGACTGGACAATAGTCGATTTCTGTATTTCTCTAGTTTATGACTCCTTTTTATCTGCCTCCCAGAATATTTTTATGTCCCTGAGGTAATGTGGACAGTATAGATATAACAGATTTCCCCCCACTAAACCTTTTTCATTGTCAATGTCTAAGGTACTATCAGGACTACATACAAACATATTCCAAGAACAAAAAGAAAAAAGTGATGGTCATCTTTTGGGTTCAAAATGCTAACATCCCTTTTGCAAAAAATACATCTGGTTCGACTTTTTACAGGAGCGAACGTTTTTTACGACTGCTTTTCAGATGATTCACCAATCACCCTTTATTTTACAGCTACTTTTTACCTTCTCACTATGATAAACCATTTCACAAGTCTTCACAAACACTTTCTTGGATCACAGACAGCTATGCTTGTGCAAAAGAGTCAATGCCATATCCGTTTGTGTCACTTATAAACACCAAACAAAGTGCAGTGGGGCAAAGGCCTTTTGATTGCCAACTTTTGTGCAAGTTGCTTCTTTTTTTGAAAAAATAAAAATAAAAATAAAAAAGATGCGCTTAAGCTTTCAGACAGATAATAATGTCATAACATGGTGGTTGCTACCACATAAAGCGCGATAAAACCAAGAAAATTGCATATCCAACAAGGAGATTTTTGTAAGAATATTCCGGAGCAAAAAGTGCATGAAAGAACATAATTATTTAATGCTGATGTCAACAAAATGCACTATTCCAGTGGAGAACATGAACGGGATTGTTTTATTTTCGTTTCTCAATATACTACCTGAAATTTTCAGACCAAGATATAACATAAATAAATAAAGTTAAAGCAATTGAGCTACAAAAGACCATTTATGACATCACTATTTCTCTTTGTACCTATGAGGGTTCTTAGTGGGATGGTGTGCTATCCCCATCTTTGAATGGTGGGCAACAACATCCAATGCTTGAAACGCAATTTCCCTACAGAGATTATGAGAGGTTATTCACAAGGCTAGATTTGTCTCTCATTTAGAGCAAATAAATAAGAGCACATGCATGGTTGCGCATATATGAGCATGATAAGCTGTATTTCCATTGCTGAGTGCTCAGATTTCAAATTGACTAATATGTCGAGACATAAATGCACGTCTGATGCACTTTTTGGCAACAGAATTAGCCTTTTATGGAAATATGGCGCACTATTAAAATTTGAATTAAAGACAACAGGGCCAAAGGTAACATTTTTTCCCCATATTATTGCCAAAACTAATAGCACTCTCCTCTCGAGTGAATAATTTGTAAATGAAAGACAATGTCAGTAAGGTATTGTAGTTTTGAAGAATAAGTGGAGTTTCTGCTAATTGGGCTAAGCTTTAAGGGTCACTTTTGTAATTAACCATAATTTATAATGGACACAGATTAAAAATTTTAAAACTGAAGGCAAAATAGCTGCACAACATGAACATGCAGGTAACTCCTTGTAAATACAGACGTGAAAATAATTTCTTGATGGTATGATGTGTGACATAGAATGTGTAGTAAATCTTTCATGAACATATGCATGGCTGCACATAGATAATGATGTTATGCAAATTATGGCATGATGCCTATAGCACTCATCTCTTTTGATAGAGACATTGAAATATGATGCCAACTTGTAAAAATAACTAACTCTAGGATTATAGCAGTTCTACAAATTGACCATCGAAAATACCTTCTGTGAAAGAAATTAATTAGTGTTCTCTATTTTTTGTAAAAGAAAAAATTGTGTGTGCGCATGTGTGTGTGCTTACTCAATTGGAACCTAACTCGATCTCCACAGTAAAGAAGGCTTCTTGTACGAACTTTACTTGACATGGTATATGCTACAGTTGACGGGAAGTTTTTTTCCTAGTTAAAAACATAGTTGCTAGAATGTGACATACACCCAAATTAATCCTTTTTTGCAACTATGAATAAATTATTTATAATCATTAACTCAGCAAAGGCTTGATGGAGATATTTTTTGTTCACAATATCATACATCTTCAAATATTCAGCTGAAAGGTACTTTGACAGATTTGAGGGAGACTCCATAAATGGTAAACTATAGAAATCAATACTCGTTTTACACCTACTGATTAGGAAGAAAGATGTTTCTTAAAATCAGAAGAAATATATGAATTAGAACACTTTCATGTCATAATCACAAAAGAAAGAGGAAATTATTAATATTAGGCCACTCATATTTAATCCCATAAACAATCTCGATTTTAAAAATAAAAAGGCTGCCAGAAATTTGGCATGATACAGAGAAAACAAGAGCTACACATCCATCAAAGCTTTACATGTGGAGATGACATGAAAATAAATCATAGATTTAGGGTAAAACAATGCTTTCTGCAAGATTCTCATAATAGAGATGTTCGCACACATTTGGCAAAATGACAAAATCGAAGCCTAAGCAGTCTAATTAAAGAGAGGTCATCCAATAAAACAACAAAAGAAAATAGATTTGTTTTAGAAAACTGAACGAAAATAAAAGAAAAGAAACTTCACTTCCGACCCCTATATAAACCACCTCTCTGTCCTCTAGTCCAAACTCTCACTCTACTCCAGTTTAACGAGTGAACATGCGCACATTCATAATCTAAAAAGCATAACCCGTCTACAAAATCCTCTCTCCCACATGACAAGCAACCAAACTACAGCCAAGAATACAAAAACAAAGCAAATGCAAAACATGGAAACAGGGCACACCGAAAAGAATCCCACAACAACAGAGGTAAGTAAAAAACAATGAAAAATCTTCATCCAATCTTTAAAACCTTCCAAATCCAAAAGAAAACATTT